CGAGTCCTGGACCTGGCGGCTTGCTTTTTCACTTTCTCTCTCTCTCTCTCTCTCTCTCTGTCCCTCTCTGGTCAAATGTAAATAAACAAATGAATAAATAATAAATAAAGTTAAATAAAATAATGTTTAAAATAATAATAATAACAAATGGAATTAAATAAATAATTAATTGTTTAAATTTAAAAAAAAAAAAAAAAAAAACTCATGCCTGGATGTGTGTATGAATGCCCAAAATTCTGAGAGGAGAATGGAAGAGATTGCTATGTGGTCATCACCTCGGGGAGTGATTTCTTGCCTTCCGTCTCTCTCTATCTCTCTGGCAAGTGCACACACTCTATAGCAAAAATCTCTAAATATATATATGTGTGTGTGTGTGTGTGTGTGTGTATAGCAGGTGGTAAATACCCAGCAAATATTTAATTAATTGGATATGCACACTGAGAGAGCAAAACAGATAAAAAAGATGAATGTGACCGGAGAAGTGGGCAATGGGATGGGGAACCTTGGACATCGGGATGAAGGGAGCCTGGGTAATTGCTCACTTGTCAATCAGATAGCACAGTCGTATTGCTTCTTCAGCATCATTAAGTGGGGTAGCGCTGTCATAGACAGCCTGCCTTTGCTGGAGGTAGAGCATCTACCCAGTGTGTTGCTGAACTGAGTAAACTGAGAACTTAGTACGTGTGTGCATAGAATGCAAGACACGTGAGACACATAATTAAATGAATAAAAAACAAAGCCAAGTGTGGTAGAGAGATCATGGGCAGGCTTACTTTCTGGCAATAGGGCTACAGGATTCAGAGACTCTTCCCAGCACAGGACATGGAAAACACTAGATAGCAAGGTGCTGTACACTCCCACATGACTGACCCCAGTTCGAGTCCCAGACCTGGTCCCCTCCTTTCTTGCTTTATCTCTCTCTCTCTCCCTCTGTGTGTCTGTGTGTGTGTGTGTTTCTCTCTGGCCAAATTAAAGTAAATAAATGAATAAATAAAGTTAAATAGAATTGTTTTTTTTTAAGTGTAATTGAGTAACTGGCTAAAAACAAAACAAAAAAAATATTTCAAAATCAGCAACCAAAAGGATGCGAGAGATAGTTTGTGTCCTAGGAAATTTCTGCTGTCTCTGGCAGCCTAGAGTTTGGATTTTAATGGGCCCCATCTACAGAGGAGAACAAGAAACAAAACCTACTGATAGATGTAAGTAGGAGAGACAACTGACATGGAGATCTTTCCTCCCAAAAAAGGAACCCCAAATGGTCGCATTTTGAGTAAATGGGGAAAAGAAGCCTACTGTACAGAAAATACTTAAGCCTTTGTTCTGGGATGAGAAAAAAAAAAAAAAAAAAAAAACAGTTCTTACGCTAACCCCATGGCCTGGTAGCTAAGGGAACTGGATCCCACACAGCTGACTAAACAGTTTGAGTTCGAGTCCCCAGGGCTTGAAAAACATGCTGGGTATGAGTGTGTGCATGCCCCAAATCCCAGCAGGACAGACATATTGAGAAGAGATTGCAGTGTGACTACACCCCATTGGGGGAGAGCTCTCTTTCTGTCTCTCTCTCTGTCTCTCTCTCTCTCTCTCTCTAGTAAGTGCATACATCCTCTGGCAAAGATAAAAAGGAAAAAGAAAACACAACTCTCTAGAGAATTTCTAACAAGCTACCATCAGGGGCCAAATACACTACCTATATGACCTGAAAAACCTGAAGCAGAAATTAAGTTTGAAGTAGGTTGTTAGAGACCCAGGCACCTGGTAGAAGCAGATTCCGATTATCTCCGGAGGAATATACTTTTTTAAAAAAGAATTATTTTATTTTATGTGTTATTATTTGACCAGAGAGAGGAAGAGTGAGAGAGAGAGATAGCAACCAACCATGTCCGGGACCTGAACCATGGTCAGCCATGTGGAAGTCCAGCGGCTTAACCAGCATGCTACCCGCCAGCCCAGAATATACTTTTTTTATTATTATTATTCATTTTTGCCATGAGAACCAGAGAGGCATCCTCATGAGGTCTTCATGCCATGATCCATCCCCATCCTCAGCCCAGCCCAAGATGATATAACTGCCTCATGATTCTTGTGCAAGTAAAGATAAGTAAGGGTCATGGCTCAGCCTCCGTAGCATCCTAGATGGCAGTGCTGGAAGTCACGTGGCCAACCGGAGGTGCAGGCCAGAGTGTGTGTTGGAGCCCAGGATCCTGAGGATGGAAGGCTAGGATAGGAGGGTCACGGCATGGGGAAACCGTGTTCAGGATTCGTTCTCCTTTTCTCTCTCATACACCCATGCTTGCTCTTTATCATAAAAACAGATAGGGGTCTTAGTAGTGGAAGATATCATCTATATTTTGAAAAGTTTTAGAAAGATCTCCCATGTAGCAAACACAATAGACAATGCACAAATACAGGCTTAGGAGCTGAGCTGCTGCCGCTTAGTAGATTCACAGGCTTGGGCAGTGATGCTTCCCTGGGAAGAGGTAGATTTCATGCAGAGCATGAAATTCCAGAGTTCATGTCATAGAGAGTACTAGATAAGCAAGCCTAGGAGCTGTGTTTTCCTCTCCTCCCAAAACCAAGGTTGAGGCAAGGTCTCCTATTTGGCAGCTCTTTTCCCCCACCTACTCAAGGTGTAACTCTTTGGGGTTCTCTCTCTCGTTAGAGGGCATGTGCACTTGCCAGAGAGAGAGGAAGGAAGGAGAAAACACTCCCTATGGGAAGTAGTCACATTGTGATTTCTTCTGTCTCTTCTCCTTCATCTCTTTTTCTTTTTCCTTTTATTAATTTTTTCCAGTTAACTTTATTCATTTATTTATTCATTTGTTTATTTCAATTTAACCAGCGAGAGAGAAAAGGAGAGAGAAAGTGAGAAAACAAGCCGCCAGGTCTGAGACTCGAACCGTGGTCAGCCATGTGGGAATCCAGTGCCCTTAACCACCATGCCACCCGCCAGCACCATCCTTCATCTCTTTCTCCTTTTGGAATTTTGGATACATATGCACCCAAAGTGGTTTTCTTTCTTTTTTTTTTAGAGAGATTTTTACTATAGGGTGCATGCACTTGCTAGAGAGACAAAGAGACAGAAAGTAAGAAGTCACCCCCCCAGGGAGGATGGCCACACCACAGCCCCTTCTCCTCCATTCTTCTCTCATGATTCTGGACATGCATGCACACTCACCCAGCATGAGTGTCAAGCTGCTGGGTCCAGGACTCAAACCACGTTGGCCATGTGGGAGTCCAGTGACATAACTGTTATGCTATCTGCTGGTCCTTCCAGTGTGGTTTTAAACTGCCAGGTCTGAGACTTGAACCATGTGGTTGGCCACATAGAATCAGCTGCCTTAATCACCAGGCCACGGGTTGGCCCTTGGAGCCACCTTTTTTGGGAGGAGGGATCTCCATGACTTGCAGAAGATGTTCCATGTTGGGGCCCTCTGCCATCTCAAGGGTGACAGGTGTGCCAGAGAAGAGAGGAGGGGAAAGAGCCCTTTCAGCCTCTCTGATGCTCTTCACAGGAGCTCCTGCCCAGAGGCCTGGACATCAAACAGGAGGAGTTGGGGGACCTGGTGGACAAGGAGATGGCAGCCACTTCCGCGGCCATTGAAGCTGCCACAGCCAGAATAGAGGTATGGAGGTTTCCGCTGGTCTAAACCTGTGTTTGTGCAGCTGCCCTTTGGCCTCATGACATGTTTTAGTCACTTATTAAAGCTACAGCAGCCCGTTATCAAAGAATCCAAACCCAAACTCACTGGCCTCTCTGAACAGTCAGAAATGGGAAGGTTCTCACTGAGGGAAAGTGAGTAGTTTCCTAGGAGATCAGATACTTTAGTGTCAGATTGTCTTGGGTTCAGTTTCTACACGGACCACTGAGTACGTAAGTCCTACTAAGTCACATTCACCTCGCCAAGACTCAGATTCCATTTCATATGGTATAATAATAATTCCTACCCTAGAGAAACGTTGTAAACATTAAATCACATGTCTCCATGCTGGGCACTCGGTAACTCATTGGCACCCACAACCAGTGGGAATGGCTCTCAGACAAAGCGGAGTGGGCGCTATTGAAACAAGCAGATGTTACCCTTTCAGGGAAAGCATCAAGCCACCCACCATGGTATAAGCACCTGCCCCAGTACAGCTGCTCCTGTTTAGGTGGCACTGTAGCTCCTAGCATCCTGTGGCCGCCAGCTGAGTGCCAGGATGTCAAGATCCTCACTGACTGGAGAGCCAGCCTGCCAGAGCTGTGCTCCACCTGCATGTAGTGGAGGTCGGCTTTCTTTCCTAGCTCTTGCAAAGACGTGGATGGGAACTTCCAGATCCAGATTTCTCAGCCACTGCAAGACATTGAAGCACAACAGAGACTTTAGAGGATTCTTAGTGCTCCTGATGTATTTAGCAGCTGCGCTTCTTTTTTTAACAGGAGATGCTCAGCAAATCCCGAGCTGGAGACACCGGGGTCAAGTTGGAGGTGAATGAGAGGTCAGTCGGACAGCACGGTAGCGCTGAGGCCAGCAGCATGTCGCCTTACAGTGGGTTGTGCTTCACATCCCCATTCGGGATTGAGAGTGGACTATCAGGAGGCACAGGGGAGGGACGAGCCAGTGCTCTTATTGGTAATAGTATTAGGGATGACAGTGATGTCGCTGTCGCAGTTCAGGGGAAAGGAACCCCGAGAATCCCTGACTGCACTCCTCAGGAAGAAGACCCACAGTCAGGTCTTCTCACTCACCGGCCTTTCTTCAGAGCATCCCAGCACCCTCAGCGTCTTCCCTGCCTCTTCCCCATTCCACGTTGGCCTTTGCTTTAGGAGTAGAAACGAGAACAGCCTTTCTCATTGCTCTTAGTCTCTGTGTCCTGACCTTTTTTTCCCCCCTAGGATCCTTGGTTCTTGTACTAGCCTGATGCAAGCCATTCAGGTTCTGATCGTGGCCTCTAAGGACCTCCAGAGAGAGATTGTGGAGAGTGGCAGGGTGAGCATGGGTGTGGCCGTGGACAGAGAACAGATATATGGGTTCCCAGAGCACCGAGGGGCTCCCCACAGTCACTGAGGTCTTTTTATGCCATTGTCTCACAGGGTATAGCTGCCACTCCCATGGATGTTCACAGATGCCATGGGCAGAAGCTGGGGCCTTGCCAGCCCCAGAGGGCAGTCAGCCATAGATTTTCTACTCCAGCTCATTTACCCAGGCGCCATTGTTGGAACTCACTGTGGGAGCGCCATGTACATTGCTAGTCTGGGCCTTCTCGGGAGGAAGTGAAGACTTGGAAACTGGGCACATCCTAAGAGCAAACCTGGGTTGAGCATCTCTTAAGGAAAATACTTGGAACCAGAGGAGTTTCAGATTTGGGATCTTTCCAGATTTGGGAATATTTGCATGTACATAAAGACATATCTTGGGGAAGGGAACCCAAGTCGAAACATGAAACTCCTCTGTGTTTCACATATACTTTCTACATATAGCCTGGAAGTCATTTTTTTGGCAGTATTTTTGTATTCAGCGTTTTGTTTTCATCCTTCCCATGAGATCAGCTGTGAACAATTTTCCATTTGAAGTGTCGTGCTGGCACTCAAAAAGTTTCAGGTTTTAGAGCATTTTCAGATTTGGGAATTGTAGATTAGGGGTATCCAAGCCTGTGTCAGCTTTTCACAGGGAACTCTGCCATGTCTGTTTCTGGTGGCAGAGTCAACTTGTCCCTACTCATAGACAGCCCGTCTTTCATGTCTTTGTGTTCTTACTCCTTTGCTGATGTTAATTGTCACACCCTGTATGCAGCTACAGTTCAGGAGGCTTGAGTCCACAGAAGGGGCTGAGCCTGAAAACAGTCCTGTAAAGCAAGCAGCCATTCTGCCTTTTCTTTTCTCCTTTTTTTAAAAAAAAATTAATTTAATTTATTAATAATAATAATTTGCTACAGGGCATGTATACTCACCAGAGAGAGAGAGGAAGTGAGGAACCCAACCACCAAATCCAGGACTCTAAGCACAGCTGGCCATGTGGGAGTCTAGCACTTTAACCGCCGCACCACCTGCTGATTCCCTTGTTTTGTTTTGTTTTAATGAGCAAGCAAGAAAGAGAAAGATGCTGGGGGCGGGGGTGTGTGTGTGTGGAGAGATGGGTGTTTTTTCTGACCGCGCCTTGCTATGCCACGTTCTTCTTGCCTCAGCCTCCCAATGAGTCAGGACCACACACACATACACACATACCACCAAGGCCAGCCACACAGCCTGCACTCCAGTGCCTTCTGTGCTGGGCCTGGTGGTGCTTTTCACTGGTGTGAGAGGTAATGTATTCTGTCCCTAAAATAGAAAGATGGACTGAGCAAGGAGCTTCTGCACACTCTCAGATGATCAGGCAGATTCCAAAGCATGAAAACATTTTAAAAATCCAAGTAGAGGCCAAGCAGGTGGCATGGAGGTTACGGTGGCTGAATCCCCCAGGGCTGACTCTGTGACTTGGGTCCCGGAACCGGCAACTTGAGAAGCACACCAGATGCATATGTGTGCGTGCCCAAGGTCCAGAGAGGAGAACAGAGAAGAATAGATTGCGGTGTGGCCATCCCCACTGGGGAATGATTTCTCAGTTTCCTTCTCTCTGTCTCTCCAGGGAGCACACACACCCTATACCAAACTAAAAATACTTAAACATCCAAGTAGAAATAAATTTAAACATTTATTCACCAGGTACTCTCCTCTCTGGGAATCACAGAGAGCAGCTAAACTCCTCTCAGATCAGAATCTACTCTTTTTTTTTTTTTTTTTTTTTTTCCTGCATGACCTTGAGAAAAGTATTTTTGCCTCTCTGGGTCTTAGTTTCTTATCTGTGGAATGGAAACGATAATGCTTACCTTTCAGAGTCACTATAAAGACTAGATGGGATAAAAATATGTAAAAGCTCCTGGGATGCAGTAGGCACTCATAGGAGGTGGCAATTACTATTCTTTACGTCTCTAGGGTACAGCATCCCCCAAAGAGTTTTATGCGAAGAACTCTCGATGGACAGAAGGACTCATCTCAGCCTCCAAAGCCGTGGGCTGGGGAGCCACTGTCATGGTGTAAGTATCTGATGATCCCGAGGCTCCTCCTTTCCCGCTTCCCGTTGATCTCAGAGAATAGCTCAGGCAGGAAAGCCTGCACCCTAGAAGTGCACTGTTGATAGGAGGTCAGCGAGCCTGGATCTCCCAGGGCGACAGGGTAGAGTAGGCAGCTGACTAGCCCGGGCGATGGTGGTGACCCAGAGGTGGGATCATGAGGGGTTGCAGCTGTCACCTCATGCATGTTGTCCTTTCCCGTCAGGGATGCAGCAGATCTGGTGGTCCAAGGCAGAGGGAAATTTGAGGAGCTGATGGTGTGCTCCCGCGAAATCGCTGCCAGCACGGCCCAGCTTGTGGCCGCGTCCAAGGTATGGACCTGTGCAGGACTCCCTGGAACGCCAGCCTGGCTAGGTTAGAGAATACCTGGACGAGGGCTTAGCCCCAGGACAGGTGATTTATGTGGGGTGCAGGAAGGCTGGGCTCTAAATAAAAGTTCTGGCTCTCAGGGGTCTCATACCACCTGTCAGCAAGGAGCCCCTTCACCCAGATTGCCACACGCCCTCCTTGTGGCTCTCCACTTCTGTTACAAGTGGCCTTGGAAGCTCCCACCTGTGCCATCTTCTGATGAGCAGTTCCCAGCATTCAGGGAACACTCAAATAAGGAGCAGGTTGGTGGAGTAAACAGGTCACATGGCTCAGCTCTGAGCATCCACAGCCAATCTCTGCCGTTCTTTGTTAGTTTCCAAATCTGAACCGGTGCCCCGGCAAATTCTCGTGCCAACCTCGCCACCTCTCATGAGTTTGACAGCCTCCCCATGAGTGTTATTTATCCTTACTCCTGGTTGTCCTAATTATTTATAATTGTCCTAATAATTTATCCAGATGAGTGGTAAAACGAGAATTTCTGGCCTCTAAGCAAATAAGCTTTTTAGTGTATTTCACATATACCAGGAGCTGACTCTATTAAGTGGCAGTTTTTGAGAAGTTGATTAGTGACTACGACAGATCATACATATTTGTCAAGAATATCAGAAGGACTGTTTGGTTCAGTCCTTGTGGCCCTGAGTGAGGCATGAGCCAAATCTGCTTTGTCCTGGCAGGTGAAAGCTGATAAGGACAGTCCCAACCTAGCCCAGCTGCAGCAGGCCTCCCGTGGAGTAAACCAGGCCACTGCGGGAGTCGTGGCCTCAACCATTTCCGGCAAATCTCAGATTGAGGAGACAGGTATCTTTTCAGAAGTGAAGATCATCTTACCCACCTTATTTAGCCAATTTCTCTATTCTTCCCCCACGATACCAGTTTCCTACAGTTCTGTTTCTAAATTTCCTCTTTTTTACAATCATGCTTACTTTCTTCATTAGACGGCACCACATAGGCAGGCTGTTTATATTGCTACGATGACAGGCCCTTAAGTAGATTTTCCAGTTAGCCATTTCTCTGAATTCACAGAAATAACTCTCCTAGCCTAGTTGCCCCTGGGGAGGTCAGATCCGGGTTAGCCCATAACCTCTTCATCCTTCCTTCCTCTTCATCACATAATGCATTGCATGCACTAACAAATGGCTAAGTATCACAGCAGAGGGTGGATATGGCCGCCTCTTGGGCGAGAGTCAGCTGGGGTTATAGCCTTTCACAAGACCTTATGATTTCTATCCTTGTAGATAATATGGACTTCTCAAACATGACGTTGACGCAGATCAAACGCCAAGAGATGGATTCCCAGGTGAGAATTCCATCTGTAAGTCTAGACTGTCTTTATTGCCTAGAGAGCAAACCCCAGATATTAGTCCCATGGAGAGAAGTGAGAGAGAGAGAGAGAGATCTGGGAGAAATGAACTACTATCCCAAGACTGAATGTGAGTGGAAAGAAACAGTGGAGGTGAAGAGAGGTAATTAGTAAAGATCAGAATCTTAACTCAGGGGGCCAGCAGATGGTGTAGTGGTTACATTACTGGACTCCCACATGACCTACCATAGTTCGAATCCCAGACTCTATGACTTGAAACTCACACTGGGCGCATGTGCGTGTGTGCCCAAGAGGAGAAGGGATTGTGGCATGACCATCTCCCCTGGGGGTGATTTTTTCACTTTCCCTCTCTCTCTCTGATGAATGCAAATGCCATAAGGCAAAAAAAAAAAAAAACCTAACTCCAGCCCACTAGTCTTAGAGCAATGTTCTAGGCATTGTCAAGGATTTCCTAGAGCCCACAGACTATTACCTAATAGTCTTACTGTGGACAGTTTTTTTAAAAAAACTTTGTGGGAACCAGCAGTTAGCGTAATGGCTATGTCGCTGGACTCCCACGTAGTCGACCGCGGTTCATGTCCCGGACCCGGTGGCTTAAAACTCATGCCGGGCGCGTGTGCGTGCGTGCCCAAGATCCCGAGAGGGGAATGGAGGAGAAGGGATTGCGGCGTGACCATCCCCCCTGGGGGGTGATTTCTCACTTTCTGTCTCTCTGTCTCTCTCTGTCTGGCGAGCGCACGCGCCCTACAGTGAAAATCTCTCCAAAAAAAAAAAAAAACTTTGTGAATTAATTATATATTTAGTAAAAGGTAAGTCAATTAATTGTTAACTCAGCAAAAGTAATGGCATTATTTCTGTTACTCAGTAAAGGTAAGAAAAATAGGAATCAGTGGGATCCTGAGCAAAATCTGATGATAGAATTCTGGGTCATTGGTTGTGGGGTAAAATCTAAATTGGGGTAGAGTTTTACACGTGGTCATTCAACATCTTCAGGAAAAGCCATGTGACCAAATTTCTGCTAGCTACTAAAAGGACTCTCTTTTAGTGGCCTCATCGAGTCCAGTCCTTCTTGACTTTAAATACCACCTGTGCACAGATAATCCCAAATTCTCCTCACCTCGATCTTCTCCTGAGCTCTATGCTTGCCCAGTTGCCTACCTGTTAGCTCCACCCGATGCCTAATAGGTATCTCAAATGAAGCAAGGGTCTTGGTGTCTCTCACACCCAACTCAGACCTTCACCTGTTTTTTCCCAGCTCTGTAAATAGTTAGCACCACCCCTGACCTGTTGCTGAGCCTCAATCCTGGGAGTCCTACTGGGTTCTGTGCAGTTAAAGCTCTGGATCCCATATGGCCAACTTCATGGTTAGTCTTGGACCCAGCGGCTTGGAAGACTTGCCAGGAGTGTGTGCATGTATGTCCAAAATCCCGAGAGGAGAATGGAGGAGAAAGGATTGTGACATGGCCATGCCCACAAGGGGTGCTTTCTCACTTTCCCTCTGTCTCTCTTTTTCTCTCTGTCTCTGTCTCTATCTCTCTCCAGCAAGCACCTGCACCCTTTAGCAAAACCTTAAAAGAGAGGGGGGCAGTAAATGGTGTGGTGATTAGGGTGCTAGACTCTCATTTGGCCAACTGTGGCTCAAGACCCAGACTGGCAGCTTGCTTTCTCACTTTCCCTTTCTCTCTCTGTCTCTGTCTTGTCACATTTTAAAATAATAATAACAAATAAAATGAAACAATTCTTTAAAAAAAAAAAAAGAAAGAAAGAAAAGAAAAGAAGGACAATTGGAATACAGAAAAGGTGGTTAAGTCCAATTAAGACAGGCCTCAGGCCCAACCTCTGTGGTACAGCCAGTAGCATACTAGGCTGTGGAGCTAGAAGCCACTTACCAATTGCAATTTGAGTCCCTGGCCTATTCGGCCTAACAACATGCCTGGAGCCTGTGTATGTGCCTAGGACCCTGAACGGCTGGAAGTCTGGAGGAAGAGGGACATGGTGTGACCAGGTCTTGTGGAGGGTGCTCCTCTCCCCTCTCTATCTGTCTGTCTCTAAGTGTGTGTACATGTATCTATCATGATTTTTTTTTCATTTTAAGAATTATTTAATTTTATTTATTTATTTTAATTTGACCAGAGACAGAGAGGGGGAAAGTGAGAAAGCAAGCCACCAGGTCCAGGACTCAAACCGTGGTCAGCCATGTGGGAGTGTCCAGTGCCTCAACCACCATGCCACCTGCTGGCCCCGAATTAAAAATTTTTAAACACAGGTCTTAGGGCTCACCCACTACTTTCCCCACAGGTCAGGGTGCTGGAGCTAGAAAATGACTTGCAGAAGGAGCGTCAGAAGCTGGGAGAGCTTCGGAAAAAGCACTATGAACTCGCTGGTGTTGCTGAGGGCTGGGAGGAAGGTGAGTGCCTCTGAGGAACAGGGCAAGCCCACTGCAAGGAGAGCTGGCTATGTGTGGGGGGTGTGGCAGGAGGGGGCCCACTGGTCCTGGTCAGCAGCTCCCTCCTTCCCCTCACTCCTCAAAAACCTGTTTCTAATTCAACTGGGAATAACCATTAAACTTAAAACTGGGGCAAACTGGGGGAGGAAATGAAAGCTTTTACTGCCATGTTTTAAGGCCTAACTATTGGTTGATGGAGTTGTCATTCACTTCCTGGCCTGGCCTGCCTGGTTGACTTAGAGTAAATCACAAGGTTCTGACTACCTAGAGCCCGTGATTGGCAATGATGGCCAAGAGATAGATGGGTCATGAGTAGAGTAAACAAGAAAGGAGTAGAGTGAAGTAGCAGTAGGGCCACCTACCCAGACTCGCCACCGCCTAGAGTCTGTATATGCCATTTTGTCACATGTCCCATCCCAGCCGAGATGGTTGATTCTGCTGAACTTGACCAGCTCCGGGAAGCAACTGCAGATATACCTCAGGCATTCCCAGATGTTGCTGTCAGGGAATAGATGCTACGCCGGTTAGGATTATAATGTATTTTAGAGCCCAGCATGGTGACAGCTTTTGTTGGCTAGGTGATTTCATTCAGGTGTTAAGTGCTATGTGACAAAAATTATCATTGTCTTCCAGGAACAGAAACATCTCCAACTGTGCTGCAAGAAGCAGGAACTGAGAAAGACTAGAGCCACACCACTGCCCCATACGTCAGAGTGTAAATCCTTGTTACCCATCTATGTGTTTGTTATTTCCCGACCACAGACCGAGTTCTGGGAGCCCCAGTGGAAGCCACACCTCTCCCATTGACCAGAGCGGAGGACCTGCTTGACCCCAAAGACTTCCTGTCCATAGCAACACCTATTATGTCTGAATCTCAGATCCCTTTCCCCACATCCGAGAGCCAGGCTGGCCTGTGTTGCCTGTGAGCAAGCCCAGGTCCAAAGGGGAGGAGGGACAGGGCCCTTCAGCAGAGGACTGCCATCCGGTCCTACTTACTGTCTTACCCCTGCCACAATCAGTGTCCTTCCTACAGGGGCTTCTTGTTGTGGAGAGCCTGGAGAGGAAAGACCTTATGCATTTTCTTTTCTGTTTTCTTCTCAGTCTTTTCAGTTTCGTCATTTGCACAAACTTGTGAGCATCCGAGGGCTGGTGGATTCCAAACCAGGACACTACCCTGAACCTGCACAGTGGAAGACAGCAGGCGTGTCCTGGCTCAGAATGCCAAGGCAGTTCTCCCTTCTCTGGGCAGTTCCATGGAGTCCCACTGCTGCCGGTGGTGGTTGGTTGGGTGTTTTGGTTTTCTTTTTTTCAAGTGTCACTCATATAGCCAACTCTCCCAAAGGGCACACCCTGGAGCCCTGAGCTATCTGGGGCCTCCCCCCTCCCCCAGTGGTCACAGCGACGGTGCTGCTCAGGCTCCACCCTGGTGCTCCACCTCAGCCTCCACACTGAGCGCCCTGCGGAGCCAGTGCTGGTCAGTGAGGCCACCCTCCAGGGCCAGGGACAGCTTTCCTCAAAAGGCAGAAGCAGAGCGAGTGCCTTTCCTTCCCAAAGCTGGACCCCGCTGAGAGCCTCTGTCCACCCCACAAGTGAGAGAGCAACAAAAAGCAGGAAAGGAGGGGTATACACAGTGCCAGGTCTCCAGGGAACACCTTTCTTAGGAACTCCTGTGGCTGGGCCCAAACACCCGTCGTATGCCTGAGTGGAGCCAGTTCGGAGCAGCAATACTCCTCCCTCCAGGATGAATCGTCCATCCCACGTCACACGGCCACCTCCCTTCATACCCTGGGGAGCCCTGAGAGGGAGTGTGCAAGGGATTTCCAATTCCTTTCTTCAGATGTCTGCTTTAGCATCCTCTTAAATCTGAAGAAGACAATTCCATGTTCCACCTAATTGACAGACCCAGAAGATTAGACATACTTGCTCCCGTTGGGAAAGAACCCTGTGCTTGGTTTGGTACCTTTAATATTTATTACTAACCTTGAAGCAGCAGCGGCCTGGAGAAAGATGCTGAGAGCAGTCAGGAGCTCAGGGGTGACTGGCGAGGTCTGCACGGCTGCCCTGCACCCTCAGTCTTCAAGAGCCAGAGACAAGGCCCAGATGCTGCCCTGGACCGCTAACTGGCTTGGATCCCAAAGCAAGCAGGTTCCTCGGTGCATTTGGGTCGGGCGACAAGAAAGGGAACCACTGGCTTTGGCTCCTGCCAGGCACGCAGTTGCAGGCCCTCGGTGCCCTGTGGACAGGATGACGACAGAGGGCACATTAACAGCCTCTTAGAGACGGGCAACCTGACAGCACTTTTCCACTTCCAAATGGACCCCAGCATTTAAGTGACCTTCCAGTCTTGGAAAAAATGGTGTCTTCCTCCTCCATCTGTAGCAACTTAGGTAGTAGCCGACAAGCATTTCCCAGGACCTGTCCCACAGGAACATTGCAAGTTCTGCTACATGACAGGTTGTGAGACTTCTGTTTGATCACTGTGAATCAACCCTCCTTCTTCCTAACACCCCTCCCCCAACTCCCTCTCTGCATTTTCTAAGTGGGGCACTCAGAGAACTGTCTCCCAGGAACTCAGACACATGACCTCCGTACTGGGCTCAGGAGGTATCAGCAGTAGAAACTGGGTTGTCTTAGTTTAATGCTTCTTGTACTCAGCATTTTTCCATTTCAAGGGTCAACATTTCCAAAAGTGATTAATCCAAAATCACAGCCATTCACATCTTGTACCAAATTACCAATGTGGTAGAAAAGTCTAGTGTATTGAGCCAGATTAAGATCCTCTGAATAACACTCTAAAAAGAAGCCACTGTCATTTAAAACTATTCATGGACTTGGTTTGAGTAATAAAGCAGTTAAGAAAGCTATTCAACAGGAGCACAGGCTAATTCAGTCTCACAGGAAATGAATACCTGTCAGATGTACTGTGATAACTTTCATAATAGCTCCGCTTAGAAACAACGCCATTCTCTAGCCATAACCAAATTATCTACCTTGGCTCTTCTAAAAATGAGTGTGTGATAGTTGGTGTGAAATAGCTTGGATCACATCTTCAAGCTAAAAATGAGCCTCCCAGCCTTCTGATGAGTCACTGAACATCCTGAGACTGAAGTCTTGTGGGTGAGTGTAAATGGGTCAGAAGGAAACAGGACCGCCACAACGTGATGGCTTCGGGTTGATAAGAGGGGGATACAGCTACATTTGTAATTCTGTAATTCCCTGATACCTCTAGAGTAAGGATATTTGTGTACGTGATAAGGGAAAAGTTAGAAGAAAAGACCTACCTTTATGGAGTTGTTTTATATCTAAGCAAGGAGTTTAAATTAGACTAGGATTTAGATTGCTTCTTGGGTCTGCTGCCCACAGTATCCCTGGGATCCCACCTGAATATGAATCCTTTCCCCCTTGCTTGGGGGAACCAAATGCTGTTCAGAACATTCTTTCTTGGGGTTGTTCCAGCTACTGAATCAGACACAGGTTTACATCGGGTACCACAGGCATCACAAGCACTTGTCATTTTGGTCAGGTTAGTTTGCTTTGGCCTCTCCTCCTGAGATGCTGGTTCTCAGCTTGCACCTGGGAGTTTCTTACTTCTTGGTCAGCTCATGGTCTAGAGAGATCTCCTGGCTCTGCTTTATTCCGGTCTTTAATAACTGGTCAGTGTCCTGCTACCTTCTGCCAGCTCTCCAATCTCTGGGAGCCCTTACTGCCAATGAAAGCCTTCAGTCCCAACATTGGCCTTCCAGCCAGACCGGCTGTACCATCCTTGGACCTCCAGAGACGGCATCACCTGTAGCATAGAACACCACCACCACGAGCCTGCCAGCCATGAACACAGCAAACTGGGCCCGCCGTTTGCTGCTCAAGTCCCCTGTCGCCCAGGTCCAGACCACATGCAGGATCACCAACAGCAGTGGTAGCCCTGCCTCTTCTCGTACCCCAGGAACCAAAGCAACATGAAACAATTGGTTTAGATGCTATTGGGTCCGATTCTGAGAGTAGATTTTTTTTCCAGACACATCTTTCAGGTGACCCTCAACTACCTCAGGTTTGAAGGCCCTAAGTTAAGCTGAGTACCATTCATAGGGGCAAACCGAGGGGGTTTGGTGAAATCTTGGTAATAATGCTGTTGTTTCAAACTTAGAACACACTCTTCCACATTTAGATCTGCAGGGATAAGGTTGGGTTCGTTTTTTCTTCTGTTTTTAATCTTGGCCCCAGTTCACCATTAGAATAGTTCCTATAAATAAATTTCATTTCTCACTGAGTGCCTACCTTCCCAGGGCAGGTAGCCACTGGCTTTTGTTTCCTCCAACCAGACTTTTATTATGGTATTAAGACCTTTCTTTGTATAATACATTGCATCTGTGTTTTCAATTTTTCAAATAAATACTTCAGCCTGGCTGTTGAGACTGGTGGTGATAACATACTGACCAAAGTGGCTCTGAGGTTTTGGTGCCAATGAAAAGCCTGCTTTTATATCCCGAGGTTCATGGAATCCACTGAGCTCTGCACGTCGGGGAATATATCTTAGAAACATTAGTTTGTGCTTTATAGACATGTTCTATTTGTACACTTTCCTGTCTACGGGAACAATAAAACAGAAAGTACCAAAGTAGTTAGTACTGTAATTTAGCTATTAGGTTGTCTGGAAAGTCATGACGTATTTTTCTATGCAAAAAAAATGCATCATAACTGGGACCACGGTTCAAATCCCAGACCCAGCAGGTTAGAAATCACACCAGGTGTGTTTGTATGTGTGTGTACATGCATGTCCAAAATCCTAAGAGACTGGAGGAGAAGGAATTGCGGCACAGCCATACCCCTTGGGGGCTGATTTCTTGCTTTCTGTCTCTGCCCAGTGATCGCACCTCACACACCCTATACCAAAAATCTATCTTTAAAAAGCAAAATGCATCCCCAAAAAAAGGGACCAGCAGTTAGTGTAGTGGCTATGTTGCTAGATTCCCACGTAGTCGACCACGGTTCGCATCCTGCACCCGGTGGCTTAAAACTCGCCGGGCGTGTGTGCGTGCATGCCCAAGATCCCAGAGTTGTGGAGAAGGGATTGCGGCATGGCCATCCCCCCTGGGGGGGGGGTGATTTCTCCCTTTCTGTCTCTGTCTCTGCTCTGTCTGGTGAGCGCATGCGCCCTACATTGAAAACCTCTCAAAAAAAAAATGCATCATGACTTTCTCACAGCCAGTAGAAGGCCCAGTCTGCCTGAAACCTGAGAGCTCAGGCTGTGACTGCTCCATCTCCACTTTTTTTATGCAAAATATAACCTACCTTAAAATCGAGTACAACTGATTCTGCTGAGGGACTGAACCTATTAATCACAAAGGGATTCCGAACAAGCAGGTCACAGCAACCAGAGGATTTGCAGAGGGAGCAGCAAAATGGGGCTGGTCTTCATGGTCTTTCCTTGGTGGGATTAGCTACCACTTAAAGCTGCCAGTGTGTGCAACTGAGGGGACCTTCAGGGGAGAAACGGATAGGAGCTGGGGCAGCAGGACTGCCATGGAGGCCCATGCTTTTGTAAAGCCTTCATTGAAGTTTTCTAAGTTCCCTTTCAGAGCCCAGGTCCAGCCTAAGCCAATGCCACCGTCCAGGCAGCTTTTTCCCTCCCAGGCATGCTTGACTCAATACTTGGGTCACCCACACATGACCTTGACCAGCTCCCGCAGAAGGTCTTCCTGGGGACTCATAGGCCCCAACTCTAGGAGAGAGGACAGTCTGGCTAGCTGGTCACTGGCCAGCAGAGTATTAGGAATTGTGAATGCTGTTTGCATATCATTAAAAAGGAAGGGGCAGGGGCCAGCTGGTGGTTATAGCAGCTGGATCGCACATGGCTAATTGCCAAAATCACAAAAGGCCAGAGAAATGGAGAAGGGATTGCTACGTACCATCCACCATGGGGCACTTCCCTTCTTTTCTGTTTCTCTACAGCAAGTGCACACAACCTCTTGTAATTTTTCTTTCTTTTTTTTTTCTAAGAGGTATTTTTGCTATAGGGCACAGACGCTGGAGAGACAGAAAGCGGCAAATCAACCCCTCCCCCCAGGGGGGATGGCCACACTACATCCCCTTCTCTGTTCTCTTCTGGAGATGATTGGGGGTATGTGTGCGCAAATTACATCCAACGTGAGTTTCAAGCTGCTAGGTCTGGGACTCGAAACACACCCAGCCTCATGGAAGTCCATCATTTTAACCGTTATGCTACCTGCTGACCTCAAACTCTGGCAAATTAAAAAAAAAAAAAAAAAAGTGGAGGAATTAGGGTTTAAATTTGGTGCACACATGGACCAAATTTGCCTAGGGCTTTACAGAGAGGACTGCCAGAGTGGAGGAACAAAGCTTTGAGAAAGGCAAGAGGAAAGACAAGCTAGGTGAAGTCTAAGCCGACATAGCTGGAGTTTATTATGTGAGCAAGCTTTACTCTTGGCTCATCTTGGTAATCCCGTCTCTAACCCCTTATCCCATATATGGGAGACCTTTAAACATTACTTTGGAGTGAATAAATGAATCCTTTTGCACTGCACTCTTAATTACTCACACTTTTTTTAAGCCTATAAGGGGCTACCAGGTGGCATAGTGGTTAAGGCACTGCATCTCTATATGGTTGACCGAAATACAAGTCCTGGACCTGACAGTTTGAAAATCATGCTGGGGAGGGAGGGCAGGGACTGTCAGATGGCATAATGCTTAGGTCACTGGACTCCCACATGGCCACCTGCAGTTCGAGTCCTAGAACTAGGAGCTTGAAACTCACTCTGGGTGCATGTGAGTTTGTTCCCAAAATCCCAAGAGGAGAATGGAGAAGGGATTGCAACGTGGCCATCCCCACCAGGGGGTAGTTTCTTGTTTCCTCTTTGTTTCTCCAGCAATCACATGCATTCTATAACAAAAATCTCTCTTAAAAAAAAAAAATCACACAAGGCATGTGTGCTGCATGCGTCCCCAAAATCTAGAAAGGAGAATGGAAGAGAAGAGATTGTGGCATGGCCATCACCCCAAGGGATGATTTCTCATTTTTCCTCTCACTGTCTCTCTTTGTCTCTCACTTTGCCAAGCATACGCACCCTATGACTAAATAAATAAATAAATAAATAAAGCCTGTTAGGTCCAGCCTCCGTGGCTTGATGGGAAGCATGTTGGGATGCAAAAAAAAAAAAAAAAAAATTCACAAACACATGGAAACAAACAACCTACTCCTTTTTTTTAAAATTTTTTTAAGAGGTTTATTTTGCTATAGGGCGTGTGCACTCGCCAGACAGAGAGAGACAGAAGAAAAGATATAATAAAGATCTTAGTAGAAATAAATGAAATAGAGAATAAAAGTACTATACAGAAAAGAAATGAAACCAAAAGCTGGTTCTTTTTTTTTTTTTTTTTTAGAGGTTTCTGCTATAGGGTGCATGCGCTCACCAGAGAGACAGAGGGACAGAAAGCGAGGAATCACCCCCCAGGGGAGATGGCCACATCACAATCCCTCCTTCTCCATTCTCCTCCTGGGATCTTGGGCATGCACACACATGCGCATGGAGTGAGTTTAAGCCACTGGGCCCAGGATCCTAATCATGGTCGACTGCGTGGTAGTCCAGCAACATAGCCATTACGCTAACTGCTGGTGGCATGATGGTTGAGGTACTGGACTCCTACCTGGCCAACTGTGGGTTGAGCCCAGACCTGATGGCTTGCTTTCTCACTTCCCTCTCTCTTTTTCTCTTTGTGTCTCTCTCTGGTCAAATTAAAAATAAATGAATAAATAAGTAAAAATTAGAATAAAAATAAATAAACTTTTGATTTTTTTTTTCCCCAAAGCACTTAGGGTCTCAAAATTTCATCCGGGACTCGAACCACCGTCAGCCATGTGGGAATTCAGCGCCCTTACCACCATGCCACCTGCTGGTCCTAATAAGCATTTTTTATAAAGAAAGGAAAGACTCTGTATGTCTCAGTATATACCAATTGTCTGCACTTTATAGCAGAAACTGCAAGTTTGGAAGGTGTAGTAGCAGGGAGGGCATGATAGATACTAGAGATAGTAAGGATAGGGGTAATATGGGGGTGGATCATGGAGGGAGGGAGGGGAACAGGAGAAGGAAATAAAAGTATGTTTAATTGACAAAAAAAGAAAAGCTATTTGCTAATGATACTGTATATAGTAATCTCTTTGTCTTAACTGATATGCATGGTATTTGTGCTAAAAAAAAAAAAAAGCAATGTTGTACAGTATAAAGATGTATGAGATTAAATGGGGCCAGCAGGTGGTGTGGTGGCCCAGTTTCGTTCTTCGACTGCGAGGATTCCTCTCCCTCTCTCTCTCTCTCTCTCTCTCTCTCTCTCTCTCTCTCTCCATGCCTCTCTAGTCAAATTAAAATAAATTAATTAAGTTAAACAAAATAATTATAAAAAAGATATATATATATATTTTAAATGACTACTATTACAACAGTTATGTCCTCTCAGTTCCTGTCAGTTCGGCAAACATGTTTGTTTGTTTTTAATTTGCTATGGGGCATTTTCACTCTCCAGAGAGAAACAGAAACAGAGAAGGGAGGAGTGAGAAGTCTCCCTCACCAAACCCTTCCCAGAAGGAATGACCATGCCGCAATTCCTTCTCCTCCATTTTCCTCTGGGGATGTTGGTGCATGTGCATATGCCTGACATGTTTTCTCAAGCCACCCGGTCATAGACTTGAACTGCTCAGTTGGCTGTAAGGAATCCTGCCACTTTAACCACCATGCCATCAGCTGGCAACATTGCTGGGTTCCTTTTTTTTTTTTTTTTTTTTAGAATTATTTTATTTAACTTTATTTATTTATTTTAATTTGACCAGAG